CCTGTTTATTTTATTTTATTATTTATTTGTTTATTTGAGATGGAGTCTTGCTCTGTCACCCAGGCTGACGTGCACTGGTGTGATCTTGGCTCACTGCAACCTCCACCTCCCAGGTTCAAGTGATGCTCCTGCCTCAGCCTCCCGAGTAGCTGGGATTACAGGCCCTCGCCACCATGCCCAGCTAATTTTTTTGTATTTTTAGTAGAGATGGGGTTTCACCATGTTGGCCAGGCTGGTCTTGAACTCCCAACCTCAGGCGACTCACCTGCCTTGGCCTTTCAAAGTGCTGGGATTACAGGTGTGAGCCACCATGCCTGGCCTATTTTATTTTATTTTTGGAGACAGAGTCTTGGTCTGTCACCCAGGCTGGAGTGCAGTAGTGCAATCTTGGCTCACTGCAACCTCTGCCTCCCAGGTTTAAGCAATTCTGCTGCCTCAGCTTCCCCAATAGCTGGGATTACAGGTGCACACCACCACGCCCAGCTAATTTTTGTATTTTTAGTAGAGATGGGATTTTGCCATGTTGACCAAGCTAGTCTAGAACTCCTGACCTCAAGTGATGTGCCCGCCTCGGCCTCCTAAAGTGCTGGGATTACAGGCGTGAGCCACTGTGCCCGGCCCCCTCTCCGTTGTTTCTGTCTACATATTTGGAGACCATTCCAAAAGGAATCTATATCCAGGGGAAATCTAGGGAAAAACGGAAGAGCAGGCATATAGGTAGAGGGCTCCCAGCAGAATGATGAATCCACACTTGCTGCTCGGTCAGTATCTAGTTAGGCTTTAAAAGGAACAGTTGGTTCTAAACTTTTTCCTTTTAATAGGAACAGCCCATTGTTCTTTTCTTTGTGTTTCAGACAAAGGTAAGGTCGTATTTCTTACATTTCCAAAAATGTGCTCAGTGGACTAGGCTCGGCAAGATGTTGTATTAAACCAATAAGTAATTTTTTTTTTTTTTTTGAGGTGAAGTCTCACTCTGTCGCCCGAGCTGGAGTGCAGTGGTGCAATCTCGGCTGACTGCAACCTCTGCCTCCCGGGTTCAAGCAGTTCTTCTGCCTCAGCCTCCCGAGTTGCTGGGACTACAGGCACCCACCACCACACCTGGCTAACTTTTGTATTTTTAGTAGAGACGGGGTTTCACTATGTTGGCCAGGCTGGTCTCGAACTCCTGACTTCATGATCCGCCTGCCTCGGTCTCCCAGAGTGCTGGGATTATAGGCCAAAGTGCTGGGATTACAGGCATGAGCCACCGCGCCCCACCCCGATTAAGTGATTTTTTAAAATGTAACACACATCTAACATGGATGGAACATGTGCTAAGTGGTGTAAGGCCTTGTATTTGCTGTATCTGCGTTAACTCAGCTGGTCCTCATAAGGTCCCTCTGAACTTGGTCAGTTTTCATCTCATCTATCAATGAGGAAACTGAAGTACAGAGAGGGCGACTAACTTCCCTGCAGTCACACAGCCAGTGGCTGAGTCAGGTTATGAACCCAGATGCTGGTTCCAGAGCTTGCATTTAACTGCTGGGCTCTGCTGCCTCTTAAGTAAGTTTGGAGTTTGTGACAGCCTGAGTTGGACACAGTGAAGCAGGGTTTTGTGCTGCAGGATCTCTCAGAGCCTTTAATATGCGAATGTGCACTGTGACTCTCCAAAAGGTGGGCTGAGAAAACACCATTTCTCAAGTTCAATTGTCCGCCACGCCCTTTTTCCAGACATTCCTAGTAACATCCTCGGGAACTAATGCTCCATTAGTTCCTGAAAGGGACTGAAAAGGGAATCCCATGTGCTAGGTTGGGGTATTTTGGCTGTTTCATTGGAATTTGTTTTTAAAATGAGCCACTACTTTCAAGAGTTTTGTCCCTGGAATTGAACTAAAGCTCTAAACCCAGTATAAAAATGAACATAATTTCAATTCCCTAACTGCTTTTGTTAGTAAATTCACTGGGTACTGAAAAAGGGACAGATTTGGAAGGCAGTGGAGCCTGGGGATATTTAGGAGATTTATTTTTGGCATGGCCCCTGAATCTCCTCCTGTTTTATCATGGGGAAACATTTGCCGGTTTGGGCTCAGCTGGTCTAGTGAACAGGCGCCCCGCCCCACCCAAGCCTCCTGACAGTCAGGTGAAGATGGATGCATCAGGCCTGCCAAGGCCTCTCGCCTGCCAAGGTGATCCAGCCCAGCTCTCTGCACTGTGCTTTGGGGGGCATCCATACACCTTGAAAGAAAGGGCATCCTGATCCCACCTTGGCTGCTAAACTTGGGTGCGTGTGATGAGTTCAACACACACAAACTCACACCCACATGAGCCCTTGAAGTCCTAATATCAAGGAAAGCACAAATACTTTATTTCCACATGAAATGTATGGGTTGAGATTGGCTGAGTGTGATAGAGAATAAGACTCATGTTGATTTCTGGGCGGTTCTCCTCAGACTTCAGCTCATCTGAGTCGCTTGGGGGGGTCTGTGAAAACACTGATGGCTAAGCCCCACCTCCAGAGCTGCTGATTCTGTAGATCTGAGGTGAGGCCTAATAATGAGAATTTCTAGCAGCTTCCCAAGTGATGCTGCACTGCTGTCTGGGATTGTACTTTGGGGATCACTGACATCAGAGTTTCTTGGTTAGAGTCACCTAGCTTAAACTCCCAGCTCTGCCATAAAAAAAAGATTGAGCAGGAAGTTCACATATCATAAAATTAACCGTTTTAAAGTGAACAATTCAGTGGCATTGAGTGTACTCACAATGGTTTGTAAGCACAACTTCTACTCAGTTCCAAAACATTTCCATCACCCCAAAGTGAACTCATTCATCAAGCACGTTCTCCCCATTCCCTCCCTCCCCTAGCCCCTGGCAACTGCCTATTTCAGTTCTGTGTCTGTCGATTCATCTGTCTGGATATTTCATATAAATGTAATTGTACAACATGTGGCCTCTTGTGTTGGGTTTTTCACTTAGCATGATGTTCTTGAGGTTCAGCCATTTTGTAGCATGTATCAGTACTTCATTCCTTTAAGACTTTAATAATATTCCTGTGTGCGTGTGAATGTGTGTGTGTGGATAAACGATTTGTTTGTCCTATCCATTCATCCGTTGATGTCTGCCATTTTTTAGCTGTGTGTAGTTGAACAAATTACTTAACCTCTCTGATCTTCAACTTTGTTGTTGTTGTTCTTGTTCTGTTACCCAGGCTGAAGCGCAGTAACGTGATCATGGCTCACTACAACCTCTGCTTTCCAGATTCAAGTGATCTTCCTACTTCAGCCTCCCAAGTAGCTGGGACCATAGACATATACCACCACTTCTGGCTAGTTTTTATACTTTTTTGTAGAGACGGTTTTTTGCCATGTTGCCCAGGCTGGTCTCAAACTCCTCAGCTCAAGTGATCCATCTGCCTCATCCTCCCAAAGTGCTAGAATTACAGGCATGAGCCACTGCACCCAGCCAACCTCAACTTTTTACCTGACGATAATAACATAGCTGCTCCCTTGTGGAATTGTTGTAAAGGTGAGTGAGATAATGCATGTGAGCTGCCTGGCACACCATTTCTCAAGTTCAAGTTCAAGGCCTATATTTAAAGCCTCAATCAATGGAAGTGACTATTGTTAATATGCTTTGTCTTAACTTAGTATTTCTCATAAATAGATCCTGTGATGCAGATTTGCCTCTAAACAGTTTATTTGGGAGGTAATCCCAATAAACCTTTTTTTTTTTTTTTTTTTTTAAACAGAGTGTTGTGCTCTGTCATGCAGGCTGGAGTGCAGAGGCACGATCTTAGCTCACTGCAGCCTCCGCCTTCTGGTATCAAGTGATTCTCCTGCCTCAGCCTCCCGAGTAGCTGGGATTATAGGTGCCCTCCATGACACCCGACTGATTTTTGTATTTTTAGTAGAAATGGGGTTTCGCCATGTTGGCCAGGATGGTCTTGAACTCCTGATCCCAAGTGATCTGCCCTCCTCAGCCTCCCAAAGTGTTGGGATTACAGGCGTGAGCCATTTCGCCCAGCCCCAAGAAACATCTTTAGGGGAGTTAGGAACATTACAGGTGTGAGCCACCGCGCCGAGCCGAGGACATCAAATAGTCTAAAGGGAGACATTCCAACATCAATTCTGTGACTTCGTGATTCCACAAAAGACCCAAGCATTGTCTCTCTTTCCATTCTATTATTCTTCAATGTTGGCTTGCAGCCTCATGATCACAAAATGGTTGCTGCACCTCTGGGTATTACATCTATATTCAAGGCAGGAAAAAGCTGAAGTACATCTGTCCACTATATCAGGAAAGCAATTTTTATCAGACTGCCCCCTTCCCCGTCAGATTTTTAGCTACTCTTTAGTCAGAAGTGGGTCATAGACATATCCAGTCACGAAGACAGCTTGGGAATTCATGCACTTAGCTTTCCAGCATCTATAGCAGAAGCAGATCAGGAAGAAAAGGGTGGGAAAAAGGTGTGGAGTTACCCAGTCAACAATGTCTGCCAAAGGAGAATGAACCTAAAAGCACTTCAAAGCCATTTAACAGCAAATTTTGTTAGCAAATTATCTTTCCAAAGCACTTATCTTAGTTTTCTTAAAAATGATCATGTTTGCGTGGACTGCTCTCCACCGCCAGGTCTCTTCCACAGACCCCTCTCGCTTTAGCCCTCAGTCTCTTTCAGTTCCGTCTTTTCTCTCAGTTCATACAAACAAGGAAGTCGCCCCCAGTGGAGCCCCGGCTCCCCGACAGGAGGCGGGCCCGGGGGCGGAGTCAATCCTGGAGGCCACGCCCCCTGGGAAAGTGCGGGGCATGCAAATTTGAAATGAAAGCCCGGGAACGCCGGAACAAGCACGAGTGTAAGATTTCCCTTTTACACGTGGAGAATAAGAACTCAGCCCGACTGTGTAATGGCATCAATAGTGGTGTGGACGAGACAAAGGGAATGAGGCAAGGAGCAAGGCTGGGGCTCTCACCGCGACTTGAATGTGGATGAGAGTGGGATGGTAACAGAGGTGTGCCAAAGCAACAGTATCGTTTTTCGGCGTTTTAGTTAAGATCAAGTGTAGTATTTGTTCTTATCATTATCAGTTTGTGATACATTCTGTATCTGAGGAAAATAAGTTAGATGGGTTTTTGGAGCAGGGAGATGGCATAGGAGCTTTTCCTGTCCACTGCACGTATGGACAAGAATGGTGCACTTCCTTGAGGGATACAATGTCTTTACAAATTTAAAAGGGAAGAGCACTGCAGAGTAGTTTGCACACCTGGTATGTGCGGTTTGCAGACACACGGTGGGCTTTTCAGCACTTCCATTTTCGCTGTGACTACAGCGCTTTGGGAAGACTAGGACCCAAAATGAGACTACCCGTTTCTGTATCTCCATGCAGAGAGACCGTGTTCAATGTTTCTTGGAGGTCCTTAGATCTCAGCTTGGCAGTCAGGTGGTGGTGACCTTTTAGAGGAAAGGGGTCCACCAGTGTTGCCCAGCCTGGACTTGAACTTCTTCCTCTTTTTTTTCCCCAAGTTCTGTACACATGTGCAGAACGTGCAGGTTTGTTACATAGGTATGCATGTGCCATGGTGGTTTGCTGCATCTATCAACCAGTCATCTAGGTTTTAAGCCTCGCATGCATTAGGTATTTGTTCTGATGCTCTCTCCACCCTTGCTCCCCACACGCCTGTCAGGCCCCGGTGTGTGATGTTCCCTTTCCTGTGTGCATGTGTTCTCATTATTCAACTCCCACTTATGAGTGAGAACATGCAGTGTTTGGTTTTCTGTTCCTGGGTTGGTTTGCTGAGAATGATGGCTTCCAGTTTCATCCATGTTCCTGCAAATGACATGAACTCATTCTTTTTTATGGCTGCATAGTAATTCCATGGTGTATATGTTCCACATTTTCTTTATCCAGCCTATCACTGATGGACATTTGAGTTGGTTCCAAGTCTTTGTTACTGTAAATAGTGCTGCAATAAACATACGTGTCCATGTGTCAAAAAAAGAGACCGTGTTTGCACTTGTGTCTAATTAGATGACATAATGTTCAATTTAATTCATTTATTGTTCAATGTACTTAATTTAGTTGATTTATTCTAAATTATATCACAGCTGACACAAGCAGGTTTAGGCACAAACGCAGGACACTCAAGGGGAGCATCGAGTCAGCAGCAGGGAAGTATAGGGGGTGCCTGTGCACTGGGTGAGCGAGGGGCCTCAGGCAGGGGCTTTGCTGAGGGACTCCACATCAGCAGCTAATCAGGAAGTAAGCTAGGTAGGGGTCAACTGAGAGAGCTTCTACCCATCAAAGCACCGTGCTAGGCTCTGTGAGAAATACAGATAAGAAGTGAGATTTATGCTGTCCTAACAGCACTACCTGCTCATCAGGGATATGAGTAAAGGAGTGTTGGGGTCCGCGTGTTTCCTAAACAAAGGAATGAACACACAAGACAACACAAGACAAGACAAACATGGTGGCCGCCTCGAATGGCGTGCTCTGCTTTATTTTATACAGTCGTTTGTGGAATGTTGCGAAGTCACAAGACACATTGTTGTTTTTCTGACCTTTCCCTGACTTTCTGGATTTTCAAGATGTTTACACATAAACAAGCCCCCAACGCCTTGCTTCGTTTGCAAGAGCAGGACTTATCGGGAACGCCCTGTTTGTGAGCACGTAGTCCTCTACAAAGGAGGGAGTAAGCTTAGATGGGCCTGAATGATTCAAGAAGGTGGGGAGAGAGGAGTGCTGAGTGCTGGACAGAACAGACTGTCCAGGTGAAAAGACTACAGTGGACACTGCCCATACCCAGCCCACATCCTCTCTGCCTTGCATTGCAGTGCACACAGGCCTGATTGCAACAGCCAGCACTGGCATCCTTTTACCTGAGGGCTTTCTGACTCAGGTAAACCAACACACCTTACTCTGACCCAAAATGCTGGAGAATTAGCACCACCCCCTTCCACCCCCAGATCTGCCTCCCAGATCTGGCAGGAGCCAGTGTATAAGCCCCCAGCCCCTTGCCCTTGGTGGGATGGCTCTGGGGTGTGCTCTGCACTGCTTCCCAGAGCTGCCCAGCAGGGTTAAGCTCCTGGTGCCCACAGTGGTAGCTGGCCTGATAATGCCATCTAGACGGACTCCTTCCTTCCCCATCTCACTTCCTAACTCCCCTCAAAATGTTTCTTGGGGCTGGGCGCAGTGGCTCACGCCTGTAATCCCAACACTTTGGGAGGCTGAGGAGGGCAGATCACTTGGGATCAGGAGTTCAAGACCATCCTGGCCAACATGGTGAAACTCCGTCTCTACTAAAAATAAAAAAAAAAAAATTATCCAGGTGTGGTGGTGCGTGCCTGTAATCCAAACTTGAATCCAGAATTCAGAGATGGTACATTATGGCTGTGGTTTATGCAAGGAAGATGTGCAACTCCAATTAGGGAACCCGTCTCCACAGGTATTCATCATTCTTCAAAATACTGGCTAGTGATGATAATCTATACATTTGAAGTTAAAACAAAATGTTATGTATGTAGCCCCAGTATAAGATGAGAAGAGCATCAGTCAAACACACAATGGGAGATATTCTACAGGATACCTGGCCAGCACTCCTTAAGACTGTCAGGGTCATAAAAAATGAAGAAACCGTGAGAAAATCTCACAGTACATGGGAGATTGTGGGGACATGACAACTCAGTGCAATGTGGTAGCCTAGACTGGGTCCTGGAATGAACAAAAGGATATGAATGAAAAAACTGGTGAAATGTACCAATGTCAGTTTAGTTTTGACAAATCATGATAAGATGTTAATAAAAGAGGAAACTGGCCTGGGGCAGTGGCTCACACTTGCAATCCTGGCATTTTGGGAGGCCAAGGTGGGTGGATCACTTAAGCTCAAGAGTTGGAGACCAACCTGGGCAACATGGCGAAATCCCATCTCTATAAAAAGATTCAAAAAAATTAGCCCGGGATGGTGGTGAGCACCTGTAGTCCCAGTTACTCAGGAGGCTGAGGTGGGAGGATCACTTGAGCCTAGGAGGTTGAGGTTGCAGTGAGCTATGATTGCACCACTGTACTCCAGCCTGGGTGACAGAGGGAGATCCTGTACCAAATTGAAAAAAAAAAAGGGGGAAACCAAGTGAGGGGTATAAGGAGACCCTCTGTCCTATCACTGAAAGTTTTCTGTAAATCTAAAATCACTCTACAATAAAATATTTATTCTCAAAAATATTGTGTATATACATATTTTTTGTTTTTGTATCTCATTTGGACAGATTCTTGATGAATTCACCACTTCCCAGCCATTGGAATAAGAAATGCCTCTGTAGCGCGGGTGCCCACTCAGACCTCTGCCTTTATTTTTGTGGACAAAGAAAAATTTACAGGTAACTTTCTCTCCCTTTCTAGTCTACAGCGCACAGCCAGCCTATCATAAAGCTGCTCATAGTTTCAAAAAATTATTTCATTCATATATTTAAACTTTTTCTTTATATTCTTTATTTACATATTTTACATGTAAATAATTTTTTACTATTTAATTTATAACAATTATTTTTACTAACTTTACATTTAATTTAAAAATGTTATTTTATTGTATCAGGCTGGGAGAGAAGCTAAACAAATATGGTGGCCAGAGTCGAAGCCTGTTGTCTTTGCCTGTTGGTGGCCAGTGCCTTGGGGTTCATCCTTTTCCTCTTGAGGCCCATGTCCGCTCAGGGAGATTGATCTACAACTTCATTCTCACCTACTGGGGTGGGAAAATGACCCAGGCCAGTCAGACACACAGCAGTTTGCTTAGGGATAAGAGTCAAACTCAGGACTTTGCTGGAGTTCCCGGGAATGGTGCCCTCTTTTTTGGCTGGGGATGCTAAGTTGCAAGATGTGCTCCCGGAGCTGGTGACATCTGTGCCATCATCAGAACAGACGCCTGCCTGGCAAGGAACCCAGAGGAAAGCGGAACCCAGGCTTAGAGATGAGCCTTCCTGACATTGTTTGAGCATCTGGGATCCAGCCACGTTCAGATGCCTGGGCTTTTCCATATACTGAGCCAATGAATTTCCTTTCTCTCTTTTTAAAGCCACATTGAGTTGGATTTCCATTTCTGTCACTTGCAACCCCAGGAGTTTTGTTGGAACAGTGGCCCTCACTGCTGTTTGATTGTGGTGTGTCCTTTTTGGCCCTCCCATCATCCTGGGTGTGAAACCACACACTGCCTGGTCTTGCTCAATATTCCTAATTGTGTTGGGTGGGCATCCTTGCTCTGCCCTCTCCAGCTGAGAGCAAGTTAGAACGAAGGCAAATTCCTTAATTGCTCAGAGCTGCAGTTTCCTTGATTGTAAAATTGCGGGGTAGGGTGGGGGTGGGGAAGAAACCCTCTATCAAGGGGCTGTTGGGAGAATGAAATGAGTAATGTATATGTGGCATTAACACAGTTCCATATTAAACATTCACATTTGAGTAATTTTTATCGGTGTTACTATAAATAAAAGGCAGGTTATCACAAGCAGCAATCCTATCTTTCTTCTCCTTGTATCTTCCACAATGCCTGGCATATAGCTGGAGGCTGGAAAAAATTTTAAAGTGTTAAGGGCTTCTGTGCCAGTTTCTAGGAATAAAAAGATAAGTGAGACACAGTCTGTCCGTTCCAGTTCCTCAAGGCTGGGGGGAGCCACGGCCTGATTGAAGACCAATCAAGAATAAAGATATGGCTGGGTAAGGTGGCTCATACCTGTAATCCCAGTACTTTGGGAGGCGAAGGAAGGAGGATCACTTGAGTCCAGGGGTTCAAGACCAGCCTGGGCAACATAGTGGGACCCCGTGTCCATAAAAACTAAAAAAATTAGCTAGGTGTGGTAGCACACCCCTGTAGTCCTAGCTACTCAGGAGACTGAGGCAGAAGAATCATTTGATCCCAGGAGGTCGAGCTTGCAGTGAGCCATGATTGCATCACTGCACTCCAGTCTGGGTGACAAAGTGAGACTCTGTCTCTAAAAATAAGAAATTAAAAAAGAATAAAAATAGCACATAACACATGGCAGTTCACTAAGGCAGCACACATTGAGCCACTCCTGCCTGCCAGGCACCATGCTAAGAAAGCTACAGTGAATAAAGATGGGAGGCTCCTGCTCTCAGCCAGGGCCCATGACAGAGGTGAGCAACTTGCCCATATAATTTTAGGAACAGGTAAAGAGGTGTTGTATAAATGGAGTAATCCCTGTGTTTGAAGACCTCTTA